CACGGCTCCAGAGGCCTCCAAAGACAGCCCAAGAGGCCTTTAGGAGGAACCCCAAAAAGGCGCCAAGATGCAAACATCATTGATTTTCCATGGGAAAACGTATATTTTCAGCAGATGCACTTTTTTTTCGGCATTCACGGCGTTGAAGACGGTCGAAGAGACCCCTACGATCGCCCCAAGACGGCCCTAGAGGTTCCCAAGAGGCGCCCAAGACGGCCCAAGAGGGCGCCAAGACGGCCCAAGAGGCTCCCAAGACGGCCCAAGAGGGCCCCAAGACAGCCCCAAGAGGGGTCCAAGACGGGCAGCCCGGACCCAGAATCCGAGCCTTCCGCCCCAAAAAGGCCCAAGGATGCCCCAAGAGGCCTCCAAAAGGCCCCCAAGAGGGTCCTAAAAGGCCCCCAAGAGACCAAGGGCGCTTAAGAGGCTCCAAAAAGGCCCCAAACAGGGCCCAAGAGGCACAGGCGGCGGAAAGTCAGCGAAGGCAGTTTCGATACCATGCTGGGCCCGGCGCATGGGAGGAGGAGCGGGAGGAGGAGGACTGGGAGGAGGGGGATCGGGAGGGGGACAAGCTAATTAGGTGCGCTCGAGTCATATCTAACGTCCTACCCCTCCCCCCCATTCCTTTCCATCCGGGATCAGAGTTGCCCCAAGTGCCCTCTTGAACCGATGACGACGAAACGACGAAGACGAAGACGCCGACGCCGACGACGACGACGACGACGACGACGACGACGACGACGACGACGACGACGACGACGACGACGACGGCGCGCCCCCAGAGGCGACGACGACATTGCGACGACGACGACGACGGCACGCCCCAGCAGGCTCCACAAGACGCCCCCAAAACCCATGTTCCCGCAATGCCTTTTGGGAAGCCGGAAAATCAGGCCTCCGCCCCCCTACGCAGCCATCCTCCCCGAATGCCTTCCAGAATGCGGATTGACACGCATGGACTCCTCAATACCCATACTGCGTTCAGCGTTGTGGGCAATTTACTTCCCGCTCAAAGCATCTGTGGTCCACTTACTTCTGTGGAGCAGTGCACCCGTCAAGGCCTGGGGTCTGCTAGAACCTGAGCGCGCGCGAAGCGCGCGCGATGGTTCCATATACATATTTTTATATATACGTATATACAAGCATAAATCCATCCATCCATCCATCCGCCCATCCATCCATCCGTCCGTCCATACATACATGCATGCATGCGCGCATGCAAACTTACACACGACTGAATGTGTGTATGTAATGTATGTATGTATGTGTGTATGCATGCATACATGCTGCATGCATGCATGTATGTATGCATGTGTGGTTGTGCGTATGTGTGTACGGTTGTGTGCATGTATGTATGCATGCATGTATGTATGTAGGTATGCACGTATGTATGTATTCAGGTATATATGCAAGTGAGTATATATGTATGTATGTATGTATGTATGTATGTATGTATGTATGTATGTATGTACGTATGTACGTTTGTACGTATGTATGTATGTATGTATGTATGTATGTATGTATGTATGTATGTATGTTTTGTTTATGTATGTATGTAGGTAGGCAGGAAGGTAGGTAGGTATGTTTGCATGTGCGAATGTACGAATGTAGGCAAGCTAGTTACTCGAATGTGGCCGCCCACCTCGGGTGCCCTCCCGCCGTCCTCGGCGGCGGCACCCAAGGCACCCAGCAACCCAGTGCAGGCGAAGCTCGCGGAGCTGGCGGCGGCGTTCTCGGCAGCTACAGACACGGTCAAGCAGGATCCGCTTGCCCCTGCCCCGTGCATTGAAGGTTGACAGACCTCCCACCCTGACACGTCGATGAAGGAATTGGCCGTTTTCGCTTCGCGAGAGGGCGTCGCGGCCGCCATTTCTGCGGGTCCAGGTCCGTCGGTTTCGGTCCTAGGCCGGAGTGCGCGTCCAGGAGGAGCGGCAAGCGAACATCTCCCAGCTGAGGGCGATCCTGCGCGGGCCCGAACTCGTCGGTGCCCGCTTGGACCACGCAGTGGCTGCCCGAGGGCGCGCCCAACAGCGGAACGCCGAGCGCAAGACTCCCCATGCAGCTTGCTCGGGAGGCAGAGGCAATGGAGGTCTTCAGCTCCGAGCTCGCGCGCCTGAGCCAGGAGCTCGAGTCACTCTAGGCGGGGTTTGCGGCGGAGAAGCACCACGCGCCCAAGCGTGGCCACCCGCCGTCCCCGACCGGCGGAGACCCTCGAGGAGACGCCCATCCACCTCGAGAAGCTTTCGGCGATGCTCTCAACCGGGCCGGCCCTGCCGAAAGAGCACGTGGAACAGGCGAATGCCTATTCGGACCAGCTCCTCCGTGGCCTCCAGACGTGCATCGCCACCATGGAGGCCCAGGGGAGACAGACTCCGCCGGAGGCTAGCCGCCAATGCAGCGGCAAGCAGCCGAAATCCGGCGGTCCCCGCTGTTCCGCCGGACCACGAACTGTCGAGTTCAAGCTGGCACGCCACGTCGGCAAGCAGCCATTATTCACGCGCCCGAGGAACATTTTCGACCCCTTACGGCAGCTCGTGCGAGGGCCCAGCTTCGGCTCGTCTTGCATACGCGAGTCGTCGATGTAGCACCTTGTTTTTGATGTTTCCTCGTTCGGGTGTTTCCTTTAAGCTAGCGCGCGGACGCCTCTACATGATCAAGAAAGCCGATCCTACACTAAGGTCTCGGCTGCTCTCTTGCTCTCGAAGGTGCAGTTTCTTGAATGCCGTTTCCACGCGGTGCCAGCCACACTTGTATTGCCGCCCATGCGCCTATTGAACATGTGGCCGATGACGTGCGGTGGCTCTCTGATCAGCCATACACGCGCGCTCGTAATGCAGCGCAGTGGGATGGACTACGCAGTACTCGTCGACGCTAACGCCCGCACCGCCAGCATCCATGACGTTGTCAATGGCCCAGTCGGCGCACAGGCCGGCAATCACAACGGCCAACGCCCACCTCCACACTTTCGCCCTGGCCGCAGCCAATTCGTTTTCGACAAAGCCCTTACGACGTGCAGGTCTACCCGAGGCCTCTGTTCACGCATTGACTACATCCTGGCGCCCCCCCGCGCTCTCCCGGCTGCTTCGCAGCGCCAGACGTTGGATTCCATGGCCCTCGCGTTCTCCCACGAGATCGATGGCGTCGCAGTTGGCACCAGAGTCGCGTTGCCGACTCGTTCGCCCCTCACTACGACGACTTCTTCCCTGGCGCTTTTCGCGCTGATCAGGTCAGCGGTGGCGCGTGGCGCTCGATGCGCATGGTTCCGCCAGGAGATGTGGGCGGCGGCGGCCCGCCCCAGCAACATCGCGCCCCTCGACCTCGACTCCCACTTTGATGCCAGGAACGACGCTGCGCGCGCCGCAGTTTCCATGGCGTTCGGCGGGCCCTGAGGCCACCGGGGGAAACGGCGGGCATCCTGGGGGGCCTGCGCCAACGCCCGACAGGTCGCAATGTCGCGCCGAGCCCGATCGCCTGGATTCCGGATTCCTTTTCGCCGACGTCTGGCGACGAGCTCGCGCGCGACTCGCTGCGCACTCTCCGCCGCCAAGCAGTGGATCTCGCCAGGCGTCGTCATCGACGAATCCATTGCGTGCTGGGTCGCGCAGAAAGCGGGCGCTCGCATGGCGCCGCCATCCCCGACTGCCAACGTAGTGCGCGGCCGCCTCCTCCGGGGCCCACGCGCATGCATCGCCGCCGCAGGCTGTTTCTATGTCATGGGGGTTGATCGGATTAGCGTTTCGGCGGCGGGTTGCAGGGCGCGCCGCATCTCGCGGCCATGGCACGTCGCGCGCGCAGGGCCGTTTGGGCACGAGGCTGCATGCGCGGAAAAAGAGGGGGGGTGCATCTTTTTAACGCACCGTCGCCGCGCTGCCATAGGCAGGGTGCTCGGGAGCAACGACTCGCGACCGAATGCGGGCGCCATCTGCGCGAGCGATCGCGCGACAAGGACTTGCGCCTGGCGGGGGCGGGCAGCGGCGCCAGGTCGGTCGCGCGCAGGATCTTGTCCTCTCGCATGGCCACCTGGCGGTGGCGCATATATTTGGGCCCCGCAGCTTCTGCAGCGCAACCGGCGACGCTGCCCAGACAATTTGGCCCTCGAGGCTGGCCGCGCCACGGCCAGCGCGGGCGCCCGCGCGACCAGCGCGGTCGCTCGCCCGCGCCAACCCGCGCATTCGCGCCAGCCCCGCGGCGCAGAAGCGGAATGGGCCCCGGCCAGCGACCCGGGCCGCGAACGTTGGGTGCACCGAGCATTGCGCCACCGCGTGCAACGCCGAAGTCACCGTCGCGCGTCGCTCAAGCAGGCGCCCGCGACTTCCGACCCCCCCCCGCCTTTGAGCTGGGCGTCGGGCCCGCCGCCGCCCAGTCCTCGCGACCGGCTCGAGCGCGACGAGGGCGTTGGGCGCGACGGGGTTGCGGGCGACGCCCCAATCGCCATCTCGCGCTCTGCCATCAACGAAAGGTATCGAGATGAAGGGGCTTTGCCAGGTAGTTGGCTTCGCGGTCGGCTAGAGCGCGCGCGAGCGGGAGGGCCCGCCCGCTGCGCGAGACGACCGCCGCGGTACTTTACTCGCCAATCCTTTCGCGAAGGCCCGACCTCCATCGCGGGGGAGGCGATCCACCTGCGAGCAGTCGGCCCGCGCCCCGCAGTCGCAGCTCGGGGCCGCGGCCAAACGCGGCGCCGAGCGCGCCCCAATGGTGGCGCGGCATATAATTTCTAGTATCACTGGCGCGCTGGATTCCGCATTCGTACTCCGAGACATTGGGGGGGGGCGCTTGGCGAAGCAATCCGTCAGTTAGTTCGCGGATTTAGGGCGCCTCTCCAGCGGGCATTGCTGCTGCACTTTTCGCCACCGGCGTGCCCGAGCGCGCAGCCGCGTTGATTTCGTCGCGCCCCCGGGGGCGCGGGCCTGTCCAGCTGGGTCGGGGCGTCAACGCTAAGGCCGTCTGCGCGAGGGCCCGACGGCCGCCCGGTCGCCGGCGAGACCAGACGGCGACAGTGACACATGGAGGGATCGAGCACGTTCAACCCTCACCACGCTGTTGCCTTGCCCCTGCTGCGCCACATTTGCGCCGAGAAGGGCCTCGACCACGCGCTGATCGCGCCCGCGGCCGCCTTCTGGGACGCGCCCGACCCAGCGTCTGCAGAAGATACTTCGGCATTCGATTCCACGCTTGTCGGCGACGAGGCCGTCGCGCTCATGGCGCGCGCGCTGGTTGAGCTCGACGAGTCTGTGGATGTTGCGTTGGAAGTCCTGGTGGAGCTGTTCGCCAGCTCGCGCTCAGGGCTCAACTTGGGCCCTAACAAGAGCGAGTGCTCCTCCAAGTATAGAGGTCGCCATGCTGCTGCCCGTCTGCCGGCCATCCCCGCCCCTCAGAGCTCCAACGCGTGGCTTCTAGCGGCGCAAGAATACAAGCATCTGGGCTCTTACGTAAACCCAACTGGGATTCGTGGCTTTTTTGTTGCCAGCGCCAGGCGCCGTGCGTCGTCGGCTCTGGCAGCGTGCTCCTCGCTGGCTCGCAAGACCTTCGGGTCTGACCTCCTCAGTGGCACTAGCGAGATTGCCTTCTCGCGATCCCTCGCGCCGATCTGCCGCCAGCGCGCAGTCCGCGCGCTCCGACCGGCCGGGAGTTGAAAGCAACGAATGGATGCTGCATGATGGGCATTCGCCGCATGGCGGGCGCACCTCGTTTCAGCAGCGGTCGCAACATCGCGGAACTGGAGGCGCGGGCGCAACTGCGACAACCTAGCCTGGATTCCTGGATTTGTCTGACAGCGGCTGGCGTTTGCCGCCCGCGCGCGCCGCGACCGGCGAGATGTCGCGTCGGCACTCCTCCATCTGCGCGTCGGCCCCAATTCAGAGCGTGAGTGACCTACCCGCTTTCGCTTCCAGGCGAAACCAGGTCATACCACGCGCCTCCTCGTCAAGCGGCCTGACCAGTACAGGCCGTAGTTCGGCGTCGCTTGGTATCTCTTGGAAGCGTGGGTGGTCAAAAGCGAGGTCGCTTTGTTTGCCCCCTACCAACAGCGATTGTCCTTCGCGGGCGCGGCGGCCGGCTGGAGACATGAATATTGCGGGGGAGACCCTTCACAGGGCCGCGCGGCCCAGTTGCCTCGGGCGTCCTACTTCGCGGCGCGACCGCGCGCGCCATGCCCGCGAGTGGCATGCCATGATTGACGCCGCTTCCTTTACGGACTCCATGTGCGACAGCCAAGTCTTGGCATCGCTCGGACGTGTGCATTTTTTCTTTCGGCGAGGACCATCGAGGAGCATCCTGGATCATTTGGCGAAACAACCACGCACGAAACCGAAAAAAACACAAGGATTGGACGTCCGAGCGATGGCCAGAAGTGGCGGCGGCCCCCCGTAGGCCCATCCGCCTGCTTGCATGCCCAGATTGCAATCGCCCGTGCGTTGCAGCACGCGCATGCGAGACGCGCGCGCGGAGCGAACGCGAAGGTGGAGCATCATTTGCGAAGTGGCGCCCCTGTTGTCGCGCAGGCTTTCAGCAAAGGCCCCGCTGCCCCGCGCACCCGTCTGGTCGCCGACGGCCTCGGCGCAGGCTCTTGGCACTCCCGCATTGGGTTCGCCTGCCGCCAGACGACATGGCGCGTCCCAACCGGATTGACCGAGCCCTCAGGTGCGACGCCCAGCGGCAGGGGCGATCCCACCATATAGCCAAAGGCGCTGCCCGTGCCAGCTCTGGCGGGGTCGCTGGTCGCGCCTCTACTTTACTTGTTGTGTTTCTGTATCAATTGACGACTGCGCGTGCTTGAAGGCATGTGTATATATATATATACACACAAAAATGAATTGGCGTTTCGCGCTGGGCACGTTGGTCCTCCGCGCGCAACGTGCGATTGCTCTTGGGTGCAGTTTTCGCCATCACCGTTATCATTTTGTTGTTGTTTTTCCTTCCTTCATGCGTCCTCCACCTCCTCTTCCTCATTTTCCATTTCATTGCCCCGCGAACCCTTCCCCGTCCTGATTTTCGTTTGCGGAGGCTCCTCGAGGGCGAGCTTCTGGAGGACTTCGCGAAGGCTTTTTCAGGAGCACCTAGGGCGCCTCTGGAAACGTCCCAGCGCCTTTTGGAGGCCTTTGGGGGGGGTCCTCATGCCGCGAACCGTGGTCTCGGGTCACGGTTGGGATGATTCCGCAGGGCGTATTGGGGCAGTTTTGGGCTGGCATGGGGCCCTCAGCGGGCAGTTTCTGAGCCTTTTTGGGGTTCTTTTGGAGTGTCAGGAAACCGTCATTGATCGTCTGAGAGCGATTTTCTGTGCCTTTCTGGCCTTTTCGGGCGTCCGGAAAACCGAATCACCGAGTAAACCAACATCATACAACACCCAACGGGCAATGAATCGTTTTAGCGCTTCGCAAGCCTATTGGGGGTGATATTTGGGCCGCTTTCGGGCATCTGGCAAAGGACTGGGGCCGGTGGAGGCCATCTTGGACTGTTTTTGTAGGGGGCCACGTGCGAACCCTACCCCTACCCCCCACGATTTCTGAGGGGGAGGGTGGGAATCATTTCGTTCGGGAGCTCCCGAGCGAAGTGAACCCCACCCTCCCCCTCAGAAATCGTGGGGGGTAGGGGGAGGGTTCGCACGTGGCCCCCTATTTCGGACTCTTGGGGCCGCCGCCGACCCGTGCGCACGGCTTGGCAGGGACTTCCAGAGGCCCTGGAATGTCGCGGGACCTTCTGAAGGGGGCGTCCCATAGCCCCACACGCCAAGCTTCAAGGGGGGGTGGGGGTATGGGGTTTTCCGGACGGATTTCCGCACGCCTTGGGACAATGTCAGTATATGAGAGGGCATGTGTATATATATATATATATGTGTGTACACACACACATGTATGTATATACATACATATAACAATATACCTACATACATGCATACATGCATGCATGCATACCTACCTACCTACCTACCTACCTACCTACCTACTTACCTACCTACATACATACATACATACATGCATACACGCATACACGCATACATACATACATGTATACATACACACACATTCACACGTACATACAGACATACACATATACATACTTATAGACAGCCAGACATACAGACATACATATATACATACACACATACAAACATACATACATACATACATACATACATACATACATGGATAAATGCATACATACATGCATACGCGCATGCATGCATACGTACGTGCGTACATACATACATGCATGCATGCAGGCATACCAAAAATACATACATGTATACATGCATGCATACATACATACATGCATTAATGCATACATACATAACTACATACATACATACGCACACATATACACATACACACATACACACATACACACATACACACATGCATACATACAGGCAGGCAGGCAGACAGGCAGACAGACATGCATGTGTACATATGTAATCATACAGAACATACAATTGAACATATACGCATATGTGTGTTTCTGTCTTCATTGCGATTGTTATACCAGGTGCGCTGCCAGATCCGGAGTCGGCCGGGCGACGTTGGCTCACGAGCCCTCCAATTGCCGCCCCTTGTGTCTCTATCCCTCTATCTCTGGTCATTTGTTTCTGTCCACCCCTGCATCCCTACCCCCCATCCCCATGTATACACACATCTCTATATATATATATATACATCCCCGTATCCCTATGTCCCTGTCCCCCTTTTGCTTGTCATCCCCAGCCCATCTCCCCGTCCCTGCATCCGCATCCCGTATCATTATCCCCATCCCTATCCCTGCATCCCAATTCCTTCAGCCCTATATCGGAAACAGGAACGTATACTTTGCCAGTGGCGGGCCGCGTCTGAATCCAAGGACTTTTTGGGGGTCGGGGGCGACGTCGGGGCGGTGTGGTGTATCTGTTTCCCCGCTTTCCTGGGGAAACACCGGAACAAGTACACACCAGGATCCCGTATACGCCAGGATCCGTTTTCCTGTGCGAGCTTCAGTGCGGGGCAGAAGCGTCGGTGTATAGAGCTCGGTTCCTTACTATATATCTCTACCCGATCCCCACCCCGGTGCGTCCGTTCCTCCCCGATCGCCATCTGCCCGCGCTGGAGAGCCTGGGGGGCCCGCCGCCGCGCGCCGGAGGCGCGAGCGGGACTCGGGAGCGCGGGGTTGGCGCCGCGTCGTCGGGGCGCGGCCCGTTCCCCCTGTCTCGGGGCGCTGCTTTTCCATGCCGCGCTGGGAAGAGAGGAGGAGGAGGGGGAGGGGGGGGAGGGGGAGGGGGAGGGGGAGGAGGAGGAGGAGGAGGAGGGAGGAGGAGGAGAAGGAGGAGGAGGAGGCGGAGGAGGGGGAACGGGAGGAGGAAGAGTAGGAGGAGGAGGAGGAAGGAGGAGGAGGCCGAGGAGGCCGAGGAGGACGAGGATCGAGGATCGAGGATGTGAGGATCGAGATGGGTCGAGGATCGAGGAGCCTCCCCTCCTCCGTGGCATCTCTTGCTCTCAAGGGGAGGCGCGCACCCTCCCCGTCCTCCGTCCCCCCCGCCCCGCTCTGCCCCTCCTTCGGGGCAGGGGTTTGGCCAGCGCCACCGCCTGGGGGGTCGATCTGAAGGTGACCTCGGCGGGCGGTGCGTTCAGTCGGACCGAGGCCTAAGATCGAGGTCGGTTCGGGGAGGGTGCCCTAGTGTTCTGCGTGTTTGAAGGGGGTTCTTGTGCGTCCTAAAAAGGGTACCCTTGGATGCTCTGTTTGTATTGGCCGATGGAGGGTCTCGTGTTCTCGAGGGAGGCTATTCTGGCCTCGGTCCGACTGTGAGGGGATCTTGGCGGCATGGGTATGGACATTTTCGGACACGTGCCTACCCGACACGCTAGGGCAGTGTCGAACAAGCATCGCCCCCCAGCGCCCCACACGTGAAAGCCCTCCAGCTTCCATGCTTCCTTGGTGCTCGAAATTCTTGCTGGTGGCCAAGGCTAAAGCAGGCTGGCACACCTGAAGTCCTGGGAATGAGTGTGTTGGCAAAGAGCAGGGCCCTCACGATGACCTCGCCCGAAGGAGAGCCCCAAGCAGAGTGACTTGGGGCCGAAAGGGAGGAGGGGTCGGGAGCCCCGTCGGCGCAGGCACGGATTGTGGCGAGCACCGCCGCACCTCATACCCACAGCTGTGAAAGAAGGCAACCGACTGCTCACCAACACCGTTGTGAAGAGCGAGGCGGAGAAGGAGGAGGAGGAGGGGGAGGGGGGAGGAGGAGAAAGGAGGAGGAGAGGGGAGGGAGGAGGGGGGAGGAGGGGGAGGGGGAGGAGGAGGAGAGGAGGAGGAGGAGGGAGGAGCGGCGTGGCTGGATGGGGCCTCCGCCTCTCCGCGGGCGACGGCCCCGCGGGCGACGGCCTCGCGGGTCCGGCCGCTTCGGGGGGCGGCGGCCTTGCCCCTGCCGCCGCCCGCCCGCCCTCCCGTCCACGACGTGCGGGGGGGTGCACGGCGTGGGGGGCCGCCTGCCGCCATCTCCTCCCCTCCTTCTCCTCCTCCTCCTCCTCCTCCCCTCCTCCTTCCTCCTCCTCCTCCTCCTCCTCCTCCTCCTCCTCCTCCTCCTCCTCCTCCTTCCTCCTCCCACTCCTCCCACTCCTCCTGCTCCTCCTCCTTCCCCTCCTCCCCCTCCCCCTCATCCTCCCCCTCCTCCCTCTCCTTCTCCTCCCCTCCTCCCCCGTCTCTCCCCTCCTCCCCTCCTCCTCCTCCTCCACCTCCTCCTCCACCTCCTCCTCCTCCTCCTCCTCCCCTCCTCCTCCTCCTCCTCCTCCTCTCCCCCCTCCCCCTCCATCTCCCCCTCCTCCCCCTCCTCCTGCTTCTAGACGGCCAACATCTGGGGCCGAGGTGTCAAATACGGTTCTCACGTCCTGGCCGACAGCGTCTAGGGACACATTGGGTGCCGTGGCGTCCATAGACACTCTTGGGGTGGATAACGTCTATGGACAATGTGGCCGCTGCGTTCGGCGCGGTGCAAGGTCGGGCAAAGGGCAGATCCGTCTACGCTAGGGTCTTGTTCTAGAGCAGGTCCCACAGGGTACTCCAACGGAGGCCCCATCCAGCCACGAGCACGCGCCGGGAGCAGTAAGACCGTTCGGGCGGGCTGGTTTTCAATCCCAGGACTCTTTTGAGGGTCGGGGACGACGTCGGGGTGATGCGGTGTATACTTGTTTCCCCGCGTCCCCGGGAAACAACAGAACATGCATACATGTACACCAGGATCGCGTATACACCAGGATCCGCTCTCTTGCTTGCGAATTTCAGTGCAGAGCCAGAAAAGCGTCGGTGTATGTGTATATAAATATAAGTATGTATGCGTGTATATGTAGAGAGAGAGAGAGAGTTCGGGCTCCACGACTTTAGGCCTCCCAGACAGGGTGCGAGCACATGGGCTCAGAGAATCGCGCCGCACCGCCCAGGCGATGCGGCTCGATGTGGGTCGGCGGCAGGCAAGGGGGGGGGAACTGAGAAGGAGAAGGCCTTCCCGGAGTGCGGCGGGACTGCTCAGAAGCCCGCCAGCGTTCTGATAAGTGTCTGCGTCATGGGGGGAGGCTCGGAAAACTTCTCAGAAGGCCAGCTGACTTTCGAACCATCTGAGAAGGCCCGCCCCTTCTCACTCCCCCCCTTGCTCGCCGCCGAATTTTGCCCCCGCCGACATCGCCGATGCATCGCCGGCGTCGCCGATGCATCGGTGGTGCATCGACGGTGCAGCGCGACTCTCCGACCCCATCTGGTCGGACCCCATCTGGGAGGCCTCTACTCTGTCTTGTGTCCATACACTGGGGGTCCACGCCAAGAAACACCCTGCTTGCCTCCAGGGTGCCCTGGGTTTCTTGTGTTTCGAGGGCTTCGCTGTGGACAGCGCGATGTTCCCCCACCAAGAGTCCATGGACGCCCTGGGCTCTCGGGGTTGGGTTTCTGGTGGCCGGTGTCTTGTGGTCGCGCAATTTGTGGGCCCCGGAAACGGCAGGGCCGTTTTTTTTTTCACCGTTTCCCAAAAAATGTCCCTTGAAAATGGAAACGGCAAAACAACGGCGACCGGAAACGGCAAAAGCTCCGGTTCCAATCCTGGAGCCGTTTTTTTGCCGTTTCCGGTCGCCGTTGTTTTGCCGTTTCCATTTTCAAGGGACATTTTTCTGGAAACGGTGAAAAAAAAACGGCCCTGTCGTTTCCAGGGCCCACTAAGGTCGCGCCCCTCCTGCATCCACCGCCCGCCAGGGGTCCTAGGACTCAGGAGGGAAAGAAACACACAGACACAATTAATCGTCCACTCCCAGGAAAATATGGGGAAATATGGGCAGTGGGGGGGGAAAACAGAAACCCAGAAAATATGGGAAAATCTGGGGGAATCTTTTTATTTGTTTGTATTTACTTGTGTGTCCCAGGGCCCCTTCAAGGACTTCGGCTCCTCCGGCGGCGGACGCCGACGGATCCGCGCCCGGCTCCTCCGCACCTCCGCCCTCGGGGCGGGCGGCCCGCCACAGCGGCGGCGGGGCGCCATGGGCTGCGGCGGCAGCGCCGCCAAGAAGGGCGCCGACGAGCCCGCCGACGCCGCGCCGAAGGCCGCCGACGAGGCGAAGGCCGCCGCTGAGGCGAAGGCCGCCGCCGCCGCCGAGGCGAAGGCCGCCGCCGAGGCGAAGGCCGCCGCCGAGGCGAAGGCGGCCGCCGAGGCGAAGGCCGAGGCCGAGGCGAAGGCCGAGGCCGAGGCGAAGGCCGCCGCCGAGGCGAAGGCCGAGGCCGAGGCGAAGGCCGAGGCGGCGGAGCAGCGGCGCGCGGCGACGGAGAGGTATGCGGAGGCGGCGGCGGGCCTGGCCGCGGCTGCGGTGGCCGAGAGGCCGCTGGGGATGTCCTCGCTGGAGTTCGCCGAGGACGTCGCCGAGCGGATGAGGAGGTCCTCGAGAATGGAATCGACCCGTCGCGACCCCAAGTAGGGAAACATGTCCCACTGCATTGGCGCGTTGCTTGGCATTGCTTGGCGATGCTACGCGTTGCTGGGCGTTGCTTGGCATTGTTTGGCGTTGTCTGGCCTTGTGTTGCATGTCTTGTCGTTGCTTGGCATTGTTTGGCGTTGCGTTGCGTAGCGTTGCTGGGCACTGTTTGGCATTGCTCGGGATTGCTGGCGCGCTGCTTGGCATCTCTTGGGGCTGCTTCGTTATACTTGGAAGCATGACCAAGCAAGCTACGCAGTTAGGACACACGATCAAGCAAACCAGGGAGCGCAGTACGGGAACACGGCATCAAGATCAAGCGCCAAGAAACCCAGGGAATGCAGTAAGGAAGCAAGAGTAAGCAACCCGGGAACGCAGCAAGGAAACAAGAGCTAGCAATTCTTGACGCTTTGCGTATCCCCACCAGCCCATCCTACACCAGGCACTCGAACGAAGAGCGCCGATGATCGGCAGCTGTTCTCCTCCCCTCTTCCTCCTTCTCCTCCGCCTTCTCCTCCTCCTCCTCCTCTCCTCCTCCTCCCTCTCCTCCTCCTCCTCCTCCTCCTCCTCCTCCTCCTCCTCCTCCTCTTCCTCCTCCTCCTCCTCCTCCTCCTCCTCCTCCTCTTCCGCCTCTTCCTCCTCCCTGGTGGCGTATTGGAAGTGTCTTCGAACGTTTTGGTGGGCTCTTGGGCCTTGCGGGCGGGCGGGCGGCGCTCCGCCCGCCCGCGCGCAGGGCCCAAGAGGGGGTCCAAGACGTCTCTCGGAGCCATCTTGGAGGAGATCGATCAACGAAGGGGGGTTCCTAAATTTCAGCCCCCCCTCAGGAGCCACGATCCTCGTGAGGGGTGTCGAATTTTAGCCCTCCCAGGGGTCGATCTTGGACGCTCTGACCGATCGCGCCCCCCCCTGTCCAGGTCAGTGGGGAGGGGGTAGGGGGAGGGGTAAACCCCTCCCCGAAGGGGAAGAAGGAGGGGTGGAAGAGGAAACGCTCTAAACCACCGACGCCCAGAGGGCTGGTGGGATTTTGGACAACGCCGCAGTAAGTAAACAATTGCCAAGAAACCTTGGGGAGGCCACTGAAAGGAAACAAAACCACGCAACCCCGAGGAACGCCAAGCAGCCCTGGGCAAGGCCACCTGTAAAGCAGCAGGGCCAAGCAACCCCGAGGAACGCCACAGTAGAGAAACAAGACCTGGCAACCCCGAGGAAGGCCGGCTTGCCAGGCCTCCCACCCACAGGCTCTTCCCAAGCAATTCGAAGACAAACAAATCCTCAGGCAAAGCCTGACTGGAGAAGAAAGGAGCACAGGCGTGAGCCTGCGCTGAGCCTCCCTCGCTGGCTGCCGCGGAACGCGCCCGATGGGCGGCGCCAGAAGCGCCCCCGGGGGGGAGCGGAGCGCGCCCAGAGCGCCGCGCCGAGGGGTCCGGCGCGGACCTCCGAGCGCCTGTGCTCGCACAGTGCTGCCTGCCACTGGAGGTCGGGTGCCCAGGAGGAGTGGGAGAAGGCGGCCCTGGCGCACGACGTGGCGACGGAGGCCGAGCTGGCCGAGCTCGCCCGCGCGCTGCTCGGCGCCCAGCTGCGCCGCGGCGCGCCCGCGGTGGCCGCCGCGGCGCTGTGGGGCGTCCGGAGGGCCGCCCTCCTGGCCTGCGCGCCCGAGGAGCGCCCGCGGCGCCTCGCCGAGGGCCACCCCCTCGTCTGCTCGGCGGCGGCGCCGGCACCGCAGTACCACGACGCCGCCGCCGACGCCGACGCCGACGCCGACGACGACGACGCCGACGCCGACGACGCCGACGACACCGATGACCGCCGCCGCCGCAGACGACGACGACGACGACAGCACCACAGGGGGAGGGAGGGGGCCCCCCCCACAACCCCACGCCCACATGGGGAGGCCCATCGCGGGGTGGGGGGGCGAAGGCATCAGCATGAGGTGGGAGGGGGGCTGGAGCCCTGGATCATATATATATATACACACACAAGACTGCAGTGGCGCTTCGCGCCACGCAACTTGATCCTTGAAGTGTGGCATCGAGGCGGAATAGCAGGAAGGTCAAGCCGACAATTTAGCGATAACTCCTTATTGCCTCCTGCGGCAACGTCGCTATAGTAATGTTATTCGCTATCCTTCCTCCATGCTTCTTTTCTTCATGTTCTCCATACTCTGCTCATTCTCCCCATTCTCCTCAGCTCTTTTTTGCGGAGGCTCCTCCTTGGAGAGCCTCTGGGGGCCTCACAAAAGTTGTTTCTGGCTTTCTTAAGGCCTTCTGGAGGCCTCCTGGGCGTATTCTGGGGGCCTCTGGGGGCTTTCTCGGGCCACCCTGCCTCTAACCGCGGTCTCCCTGAACGACCGGGTAACGATTTGGAATGCTTCGGAGATCGTCTTGGGGCCATCTTGGGCCGCCATGGGGCTCTCTGAGGGCCATGTTGGACCCGTGTTGTGCCGTTTTGGGGCTCTCTTGGACTGCTTGGAAGCCCTTTCGGATGGTTGTGGGGCGATTTGGGAGCCTCCCAGGCGGCTTCGGACGCCCAGAAGACCGCCGTCTTGGAGCGTCGGGAAGCCGAAAAGAGTATAACCCCAAAATTCACCAAAAACCAACAGAAAATCAATGACTTGTGCCTCTTGGGGCCTTCTTGGGAGTGCTCTTTGAGGCCTCTTTGGGGGCCGTCCTGGAGGCCTCTTGGGCCATCTTGAGGTCACGTCGGTCACTCTTGGAGCGCTCTTGTGCTATCTTGGGTGTCTCTGGGACGTCTCCGATGACCCCCCTGATCGCCCTAGGTGTGCTGGGAAGGCTTGGCAAAACGCCCTGCGAGGGCCAGGGAGTCAAAGTGTATATGCAGCGTCCCCCTCGAGCCTTTCCGTTCCGTTGCCGCCTTGGCTCAACGCGGCCAGCCAGTGCTTTCTCTTTTGTACTGATGAGGATATTGGCGCCGCTGCGCCCGGTGGAAAAGGTTATTCTCCTTGCTGCTGCTGCGTGGCTGACGCCGATCCGCTCATTCGACCTTGGTAGCGGAGCCTCGGTCCATCGGCCGAGGCTTCACCGCGCGCTTCGCTGTTGGACGACCAGTTCCAGTTCGGTTATATCGACGCTGGAGCTGCCTCTTCTCCCTCCCGACCGCCGAGGACACAATTGTGAGGAGCAGAGCCCTGTCTGTGATAATTGTACTATGGCTTCGTATATGGCGGACTCCCTCACGTATGCTGACCAGGCTCAGATCATGGCCTCAATGAAAGTACCACCGGCGTGGTCGCCAGAATGGAGTTCACGTTATCCGTTTCGACGATGGCTTAGAGATGTCACATTGTGGAGTATAGCGACGGAAATACCAGAATCTGCTCAGGGTGCTGCCGTGGTGCTGCGTCTCGGAGGCGCGGCGAGAGAGTTCGCTGATGAGTTGGACGCGCAGATTCTACAGCAAGGGCAGATACTGGACCTGCAGGACGGTCTGGGTCCACGCCAGGTGACGGGTTTGGCAGTGTTGCTGCGGGCTTTGGCTCGCAACTATGCTCTTGAAGCTGGAGAGGACGCAATCAGGGCCATGGCTGAGATGATGGCGTTCTCGGTCCAGCAACACGAGACCATCGATGTGGCTCTGAACCGGTTCCAGGTGCTCAAGTCCCGTGCGATTGATCATGGATTGAATCCTGGACCTTCCGGCTGGGCCTGGATGCTTATGACGGGCCTGCGAGTACAACCAGACGAGTGGCTACACTTGCTTGGTATGTTCGACAACAGGCTGCCGCAAGATGAAGAAGAGTTCAGTCGCTTGATTCAAAGTATACGCCGTCGTGGTCATGTTCTTATGCAGGATGGCATCATGAGAGCCGCTGAGAGGGCAGTGCGCATTCCTGGTGCAACGGCCCATCCAGCGCACGCCGACTTCGGCAAAGGCCGACATTTCATGACAAAGGATGCCGTCCAGGGTTTCTTCCCGACGTTTGGAGAGGTCAACCAGTGGGGAGGTTTCTTTCCCGCTTCAGCAGCGCCGCCGGCGGCATCGTGGTCATCTGCAGGTGCGGCTGCTGCATCGCCTGGAGTCCAGAACGTGTATTTTGATGATGATAATGCTTCGACCAGTGGTACTGACTACTTCGATGAGGGCCCTCAGGACCTAGCCGCTTACCTTGCTGACGTGGACCCAGAGATGCATGGTGATGTTCTACGTCATGAATATATAATGTCGAGACGACGTTGGAGGCAGTTCAGTGGACGACCCTCTCGATTCCATCGTCGCCATGGTCGCAAAGGTTCCAAGTATGGTGGCAAGAATCGTGGTCGGGGCTTGCTTGGCAAAGGTTTTCATTACGAACATGATCCGACCGCTGCTGTGGCAGCTTCCTCCGTGCCGAGTACTGCTCCAGGCTTCGTGGGCTCGGCATACCAGACAGGCAAGAAAGGAGGAAAGAGTTTTGGCGGGGGCGGAGGAGCTGGCACTAGCAAAGGCAATCCCCGCGATGCTCAGGGTAATGTGCTTCGTTGTCATGCGTGCAATAGTGACCAGCATCTCGCCAGAGAGTGCCCGCAGAAAGGAAAGGGCGCTCGCACCTTCGCCACTCACGAAGATGGTCGTGGCTACGACGGTGGCGGAGGCGGATACGGCGGGATCTCACCTGGCAGTGCTGGGGGAGGTTGGTTCGCTACGGCGGCTGACGTGCACGAGCAGTTGGCGCTGGAGGACGAGACGTTCGACGGCTGCGAGGACTGTTCGGATAACTGGCACGAATACGATGGGGATGATGACTGCTACGACAACGAAGGTCTGCCCGGGGGCAAGAACCGCAAGGGCAAGGGCAAACGAGACATAGGCAAGGGCCCCGATCGACAGCGTGGTGGATCTCAGGCTCAGACCATGCAGTTGAGCAGCATATTGAGTTCGAAGATGTACCAGCGCCAGATCCATGCTGACGAGGAGGCCGCCTTGATTGTCAAGCGCGCAGCTGCAGTGGCTGCACCCAAGTCCTACATGCCGCCACCTCCTCACCAACCTCCAGAGTTGAGAGAAGTGGCGCCGATCGCACCTCCTCCTGCTCGTGATTCGTCAGTGCCGTTGGCGGCCAGTGCGGCAGCTGTCGTTTCGCCTTTCTTGCATAAGAATACGGGCAGACAAGGTTTGTTCTTCCCGACTCAGGAGCGCAGCCGTTCACTCACTCGACAGCGTCTTGGAGCCTGGCATGCTCGCACACGGTTGCCTGACGGCCGCGAGGCCTTGCTGGTGGACCCGGGGGCTCACGACAACTTGACTGGCAGTGAGTGGTTCAAGCGTGTTTCTGATATCTGGGCTCGCCGCGGTGTTGAGATTGAGTTCAAGAAGATGGATAGGCCGATTGGAGTGGAGGGTGTTGGCAACAATGCTGATGCCTGTATCAATCGAGGCCGGGTTCCTCTTGCGCTTGCTGGTGGTGAAGAAGGTAGCTACGACGCTCCCATCGTGCCGAACTCTTCAGTGCCGGCTTTGCTGGGCAACAAGGCCTTGCGTCGCAATCGAGCCATTGTGGACTGCTTTAACGGAATCTTGTACCTCATCGGTCCTGGTGACCACCAGCTTCTGCTCCCCCCCGGCTCCAAGGAATATCAGCTGGAGCTTTCGCAGTCAGGTCATTGGATGCTTCCAGTGACGGAATTTGAGGACCAGAATATCGGCCAGATCAGCGCGAGCTCCAGGCCTGCTGACAACGCTGGTCTGCATCTACTCCATTCATCCTCTTCCTGACGGGGCGGCAGCGTGACTTCGAGCGCCGTAGACTCGGCACGGCGTTCGGATCCAGGTCGCGCAGCTGAAGTATTGCCGAGCAGAACTGGTACTCTTCCGACCTTGAGTGCAGCTACCCTCGCCAGTGGGTTACCTCGTGCGCTCCCTCCTCATCCCAGTCCAACGGCTGCGGCCGAAGTTGCACAATACCAGGTCGGGTCTGCGGATGCGGTCCGCAGTGATGGCGAGCCTGCTGAGTCTGAGCTTTCAACCTCGACTTTGGCGGCCTGGCCACGAAGTGCTCCTGGAGTCCGTGAACTTCCATCCTCCGGTACTTCGGCACAGCCTTCGACGCTGCCTGCATCCCCTCTGGGTGTCACGTGTGGTCCTGGCGTCGCCTGTCCTGTGGTCAAAGCACCTCCGTCGGCTTCGTTGGCATTTCAGTCTCGTGCACCTGTTGAGCATGGACCTCATCCTTTGGAGGTTCCCAATTTGAGTGCTGACTTGGCGCCCTTGCCGTCTGATGAGAATTTGGTATCCCATTTTGGTGTGCCTTCTGTCGTCACCTTGATGTTCGTCGACGATTCTGACGATCTGGTGCGGCAGCATACTTTGCATGAGAAGCTGGCTGCTGCTGGTATCGTGTCTACGGCAATGGCTTTAAGATCTAAGGAGATGCTGACCACCGCCGCCATGGACCGAGCCAGCAAGACACTACGTGAACGGTGCCCTGCCTTGCTGTGGGTGACACCCAAGGGTACAGCGCTGGGCGGCCCTACTCGACATGATCGCCGGCGGAGCTATGCTGTGGCGTCTTTGGTCCAATGGCAGCTGAACGCCGAACGCCCGGTCATAGTCGAAGCCAGTGCAGCATCTTCTGTCTGGGAAGTTGGTGGCTGGGAGCAGATGTGCAACGATTGCCGCCTCAGCCGTCACACTGTCAGGTGGTGCCGATGTGGTATCACGAATTC